TGAACACTATAAAAGATATGACTTGTAATATTTCAGTAGATTATTCAACTTATTTGGTTATAATATAAGAGCAAGGTACTCTACTAGCAAACATATATAATTCTTATAGTTAAGAATATTGAATCTTAGTTTAAAACAAATATTTAAAAATTTAAATAATTTCTAAAATAGTAATGCTATACCGATAATCTATTAAAATATTACATTTTAATAATAATTACCTGGTACTCTTTCTTTAAAAAAATTCTATTACAATTTAATTGTTGTGTTTCGTAATACTGGGATCATAAATGTTTTTAAAAAATTATATTACTCTGTTCTATGAAATACAAAAAATATTTATTATATAACTAGCAACAAGAATCACTGAATCTCAGTTTATTATAATTATCTTGTAACTTAATTAATGAAAATTTTTTTTAAAAAGCTACTTGTTTCATAAAAATAAACTAAACAAAATAAGACCTGATATTTTATTGTTTGTTAAATGCTTGACCATAAACTGCAAGCTAACATTTCTATTTATAACATAACAACAATGTAGTTGAAAGATACCTTAGCACCAAGTATCCAATTATTATGGTATTGTTATATTCTAGTTTAAAGCAATATTCTAGTTAAATTCCAAGATAATTACTGATTGTATAATAATAATTAGTTGATTAATAATAATTATTATGACTAAACTAATGAAAGAAATGGCAATGGCGTGTGTATAGCATACATAAATAAAAATTGAAATTAAATGAACACAATTTGACGATATTTTAGACCTTTTACGTGAGATATTGTTTAGATATCAACAGTTATGAACAGTTATCTCTAAATTTTAGATTTTTTTATTAATTTGTTTTTTTGCACACTTTATTATCACATTCATTATATTGTATAATAGCACTGATAGTTATCCTTTGATAATTAAAAAGACATCCTGTGATAAATGTTTTATTAAAATCACATTTAACACTTTATTTTAGTGAAACTTTATTTTTCATAAATAACTTATAAATTATAACCTATTTGCTTGTTAAAATAATTTCTAGAATTTATTGAATTAAATAACATATATTTTGTTTGTAAAAATTAGTAAAAATATTTTTCATATAAATTAAACAAAGCAAATGAATAATATGAGAAAATATTTATATTATTTTCCAAATACAATAACAGATTTTTACTGTCATTTACTTATTATTGAAAATAAATTATTAAAACAAATATTATTAAGTTAAATGTTATCAAAACATTTAATGTAAAATCCTATAGGTTAATATTAGACTAGTACTTTTTAATTTTAAATAATTCAATTAAAATTAATATAAATATATCGACAGACAGTATAATTATATAAAGCCTGAATTAACAGCTCTTATAATCATTTATTGAATTTATTTTAATCACATTTTGACGACATGTACTCGTATAATACAAGTAACAGGGAGTTTTACCAATTACGGTAGTTTTACCATTTTAATTTATTGTAAAATTTTTTTATATTTAAAAAACATTTATTTTCTAGTTAAATAACTTTAACAAGTCAAATACAAAAACCTTGATGTCTATTTATTATCTAGAATTTTTAAATAACATTATGGAAAGTCTGGTAGTCAATCATAAATCAGTCATAAATAAATAAATAAATTATAATTTTAACTTCAACTTATAGAAAGCTAAACAAATATCAATACTAACTTATTAAATAATAAAATAAATAACTTATTAATATAACTTGTATTTATCAAAATAACACTTTTCCAAATAACCACTACATCTCAATTTGAACCTAAAGTACAGCAAATATTTTAAAAGTCTTTAAAAAATATTTACTATTTAGTAAATGATATCTAAAAGTACACTTTACATCTACAAATTTGATAACAAATTATTCAAAATATGAGCTCATTTTGAGTTTTGCCATTCATTTCCTGATTCAACAAAAAATTGATTTTATATTTACTTTACGACAGCGAAATATTACAGAAATAAAATGCCTTCACTATTATCATCAATAAATGTGTCAACCATTGCATTATCAACGGCAGTGGTGTGTGCCTTAAGTGGTGTTGCCGTGTATGCCATCCACAAGGCCTACAGAAAGCGTCGGCAGTTCATGAAAGTGGCGAATGTATGCAAACTAATCATATATCCCATCAAATCATTGCCCGGTATTGAAGTCAATAGACTGGAAGTCACCACAAATGGTACCAAATATGGACCCTTTCGGGACAGGTATCTAGAGATATATTTAATTAATTTTAGTTTAACTAGTAAAATAATTATCAATTTAGGTAAACTAGCAAAGCGATTGGTTAAATGTCTTAATAGCAATAAGTTAATAAATTTTGTAATGTTTAGAAAATAATCTAGTTATTTATTTTGAGATCCTGGCTATTGGTTGATAAAGAGAACAGAATGATAACCCAACGTACAGAGGGATGCTCAAAGTTAGCCCTGCTCAGTTTGCAATTTAAAGACAATATGCTATGGATTACTGCACCGGACTTACCCACACTTAAGCTAAAGGTTAAAACCGAAGTGGACGATGAAGTGATTCAAACAAAGTATGGACTGTATATATAATTTAATCAATTATTCATACAGGCTTTAAAATTAAATTATAAAAATGTTAACATTAAAACTAATTGAAATGTTGATTGCAATGCAGTGTATGGGGTGACCCAATGGAGGGCGTATACTGTGGTCTGGAAGCGGAGGAATTCTTCGCGCAATACCTCAACAAAACCGGGACTAAACTCATTCAACACATCCCGAAGCAATCGGTTCGCGACGGATATATTGAAGTGAACAATGCAAAAGTTATCAGGAATGCTAAATATCCAGTAAGATTTATTGCAAATTCATTATTTATTATTTAGTAGCTAACATAATAAATTACGTGTGATTAATAGTAGTAAAATTTATTTTTTAAATTAATGTATTAGAGAATTATTTTTATGAAATAGACATCTGTTTGTAACCATGCAAAACTGTAAATATCAATTTATATTAGGGTTTTATTTATGATTTTATTTGAATAATTTGATTAGCAATCAAATGTGAGGCCAACAAATAATTAAACTATGCTAATATAAATATTAAATTTTATTCAATAGCCTAAAACTATTATTTTATTCACTGTAGATAATATACCAGGATAAGTCTGGTTTGTTAGTCATAAACCAGAGCTCTGTCGATGACCTTAACTCCCGACTGCCTACCGACGCCCTGAAGACCAGTTACCGAAACTTTCGGCCAAATATACTGATCTCAGAGTGCGATGCCTTCGATGAGGACAACTGGCAATGGGTGTCCATTCGGGACGTGGAGT